GTCAGCTCGACTCATAAGAGAGGGTGCAGATGCTACCTTGGGAATTAGGTGAGAAATCGCTCAAGCTGGCTGGTGAGGAAGTGCAGTGGACTCAGTAGACTTTCTAGTATAGAACAAAGTCAAAGTTTTTTCTTTTTTTCTGGAGCACATGATCAAAGGTCTGATTTTTTCTAAGATTTATTTATTTATGCATACAAGAGCTGGGGTGCAGGCCAGAGGTGCAGGAGGGTGAGAGGATTCACCTGAAACAGAGTGGGGAACATAATAGGTCAATCTACTGAGATACACTGCTAAGGGGAGCAGCTGGCAAGACAGGAGAGGTCTGCTGCACCATGTGGATTAGCTCCCTGGCTGGGACAACGCTCATGCTTCAGTGGCTGCAGAGAGCTTCATAGTGCTGAGACTTAACCCCTTGCGCCACCCCACCAGGGAGGCCCTGATTTTTTTTTTTTTTAATGCCAGAACTTAAATAGATGTTTAGATTGCTACTTTGCCTTTGTGCTGCAGTCAGAATGGCCCTTTCCTCTCTTGGCTACCTGTGGATAGGTGGTAGTTTTTATTGAGCATTTATCATATGTTAGTCAATATTCTAACCACCACTCTAATAGGCAGTGTAGGTCTGTTAATAATAACAATGGGGGTAGATTTATTATATTTATTATTATTGCTATAATAATAATGATATCTTACAAATACCAGTAATACTAATAATAACCAGTGTTTATTGAACACTTATGCTATTCTAATTGCTTTTTATGGATTAATTAATTTCATCTGCCCAATAACACAAGGAGGTAGAGACTACTATTATGCCTATTTTACCAGGAAACTGAGGCAATGGTATTAATTGAGCTGACCAAGACCAGACAGTTGGTCTGCAGAGGGGCCAGGATTCAAACAGTCTATCGGCAAAGAACAGATGCTCTTAGACATTAAACTACTTGATGCCTTTAAGACTGTTAAACATTCTGTAAAAAAAGGAGTTTGGCCACACTATAATAATAATAATATAAAAGCACCAACCCAACAATAAATATACCAGCTATCGCAAGTAAAATTGACTGCTTATTAGGATTTAAAATTTATGCCACACATTTGTTGTGTGCTTTTTTCATATAACCCTTCTCACAACCTAGATGGAAAGAACAATTCTTTTTTTTTTTAAGATTTTTTTTATTATCACTATTTTATTTATACAAGAACTGGGGTACAGGCCAGATGCCCCGATGAGGGGTGGTGAGAGGACTCACTAGAGACAGAGCAGGGAACAAAACAGCAGACTGATGAAATACACTGCTGAGGGGAGCAGTGGGCGAGACAGGAGAGGTCTGCCATGCCATGTGGGACCCTTGCCGGCTGGCTGGGATCGAACAGGCACTGCAGAGGCTGCGGACAGCTTCACAGAACTGCGCTCAACCGCCTGTGCCACCAGGGGAGGCCCTACATGTGAAACTTTTACCATAAGTGATGTGTGTATTAAACCTCCAGTAAAATATATCCTGGAATTTCCATGATTGTTTACATAATCTGTCTCATTTTTTTTAATGGCTTCTTCTTTGTTTTTCTTTTTTCTTTCTTTTTTTTTTTTTAGATAAATAAAATTCTGATTGAACTATCAGAATAGCCTAGACATGTTCCATGTTCAAAGCAGGATGGAATGTGAAACTAAAAAAGCTTAGGTTTGGGGGCTCCTCACCTTCACAGACCCCATCCAGGACACTGGGTGGTCACTGGTAATATGTTCACGTGGTCATGGTTTTTTGTAAAATTTTCAAGAGTAAGTTATTTTAAATAGGATCAGTTAAGTCCACAGTTTCTTTCCAGATTTCCCCCATAACATTTTCCTTGTTTTGGGTGATGGTGGAGAGACTGAGTGATTAAATAAATGTTAGCTTCCAAAAGAATTCACTTCTGAATAAATACGCATTTCATGCCTAAAAATAAATAAGTAAACCTCCAGTTAAGACTATGTCTAAAGATTGAAGCATCATTACCTCCTGAATCATTTATCCTCAATTAGGACCACGGAGACAGATGGCAGCTACTGTGTGAGATAATCAAGACAGAGTTGGTTATACTGAGTTTGTCTTTTTCCACATGGAAGATGGATTTGTTAGACAGATAACTTAATGGAAGTTTGACATTTAAATTAACCTGCCCTAAATCTCAATCAAGCCTCCAGAAAACCTTAGCCAGTCATTTCATTTTTAGGGTGCATTCTTTTTTTATATATTTTTTTATTTTTATATTCTCCATACAATTGCAACCCCGATTTTGACCCCAATCCCTCCTTTCCCTCCCCCACAAAGAGTGTCTCTCGTTCATAGTTTGTTGGTTTTGATTTTTTTCTTTCTTATAATTATTCTTTTTCCTGGTCCATATTTAGGTTTTCTAGATTCCTGCTATGAGTGAGACCATCCAGTATTTTTCTTTTTCTTTCTGTCTTATTTTTCTGAGCATGATCCCTTTGAGCTCCATCCATGTTGCTGCAAATTGTATGTGTTTATCTTTTTTGATTGCTGAGTAATATTCCATTGCGTATATGTACCACATCTTCTTGATCCAGTCATCTATGTTTGGGCATTTGGGTTGTTTCCAAAGTTAGCTATTGCAAATAGTGCTGCTATAAACATAGGGGTGCAGGTGCTCTTTGGAATTGATGTTTCTGTGTCCTTTGGGTAAAGACCTAGAAGTGGAATTGCTGGATCATATGGAAGCTCTATCTTTAGTAGGTTGAGGAATCTTCACATGGCTTTCCACAGATTTCTTATAATTGATTCAAAATGGAATGCTCTTTCTTTTTCCTTTTTTTTTTTTTTTTAAGATTTTATTTATTTATTTATACAAGCACTGGGTACAGTCAGAAGCGCGGGAGGGTGAGAGAATTCACCAGAGCCAGAGCAGGGAGCAGAACAGGCAGGCTGAGGATACACTGCTGAGGGGAGCAGCGGGCGGCAGGAGAGGTCTGCGCGCCGTGTGGGACCCTCGCCAGCGGCTGGGGATCGAACCGGAGCTGCAGAGGCTGCGGGTAGCTTCGCAGCCCAGAGCTCAACCGCTGCGCCACCAGGGAGGCCCCTCCTTTTTACTTTTTTTAAAGATTTGTTTATTTATTTATTTATACAAGCACTGGGTATACTCAGAAGCGCAGGAGGGTGAGAGGATTCACTAGAGCCAGAGCGGGGAACAGAACAGGCAGACTGATGAAATACACTGCTGAGGGGAGCAGCAGGCACTGTAAGAGAGGTCTGTCGAGTCATGTGGGACCCTCGCCGGCGGCTGGGGATCAAACTGGTGCTGCAAAGGCTGTGGACAGCTTCGCACCCCAGCGCTCAACCGCTACGCCACCGAGGAGGCCCTGGATTGCTCTTTCATTGGAGGGTTGAAAATAAAAGCAAAAACTGACAAATTGCCGGTGATATACAGATACTTATTTTCATATCTCCCTATTATAATTTCCAAAAAGGAAAAGAAGTCTCAAGCAAATTAATTGCAAACATGATTCGGTTATTCCAAAGATTATAGTTAATAATCTGCTGAAGCAATTTATGATTTATTTGAATCCCAAAGGGAACATCTTCAAAATAAACTTTTCTACAATTATAAGGTATGAAAACCTGTCCATCAATTGATATTTTATGCACATGTGTTTGTATGGCTGAAGAAATATGCAGTGTGCACTTAAGACAGTTTCTTGGTTAGATATGAACCATTTTACAAGGAGGTTTTAGGTATTCAAATGTAACTATATGCATAATGGAAACATGAAATTTCTTCTTCCTTTTTGAGATTCTGTTTAAAGTTGTGGGAAAAAATGAGCTAATTCTTTATTTTGATGGTTTGTAATCATATGGTGAATTTTGATTACATATCATACTTTTCTCAGTTGCTTTTAGTGGGTAATTTCATTATGTGATCCTTTAAAATCTCGTAAGTAGCATGTCAAACTTTTAGTGACTAGTCTGGAATGAGAAATTTATAAGAGATCTTCAAACTCTAAGCTTTCCATCAAACTGCTTGCTCTTTGCCCAACAAGTATTTACTGTGTTCCTACTGTGTGTAAAACACTGTAGGGGGCTTGCAAGGTGAATTATTCAGACAGGATCTAATCTTACAACCTGGTTAAAGAGAAGGAGTGATAAAGTACATTCACAAACAAACATAATATGGGGAGGTATGTGATAAGTACCATAAGAAAGACACAGATGTAATACTAAGGGAGTCTTAAAAGGTTGGCCAGAACACAACTCTGTAGAATAGGGGATTCCAGAATTGGAACTTAAAAGATGACATGGATTTCACAAGAAGAAACATGATAGACACATTTCAACAGAGGTAGTTGTTGCAGAAGCCTAAAGCAGGAGGGAAAACACAAATTGTGCTTGGAAAGTAAAGTGTCAGCAGTCTAGACCAGAGAGTTGGGTAGAATAGATAGGATAAAAGGGAACTGGATGGAAAAAGACTAAAGGCTTTGGGGTTTTATCTATAAGCAATGGAGAATGAGGTCTCAATGATTTAGGAAAAATTATTTGCTAAGAGAATCTAGAAAGAACAGGGGCTAGAGAGGTTAGACACCAGGGTATCAAGTATATGGTTATAAACAACAAAGTGAAGACACTGGAAATAGGGTATAAAGAGCAATAGTATAAATAGAACTTGGCAGACTATTTGTGTGTGTGTGTGTGTGTGTATGATTGCAAGTGCTGGTTGGTGCTAGTTGGGGAAGATAGCAAGGGAGAATGATAACAGTCTACAGAATTAGGAGAGTCTTGGGGAGATAGCTGGTTGTGATGAAAGGAAGTTGGTGATTTATATTATAGTGATGTTGAATTTGAACTGATACAAAACATGCATGCCGAGAAACTAGACATATAGAAAGGGATTTGAAGAGACCCAGTCTGATTTGAAATAGAGCTTTAGTTACCTCAACACTCAAGTAATTTGTGCAGGTGATTTATGCAATTTAAGCATACTGTTCAATTAGGGCCAATGGTGTTTTTCAGGACCAACCCATGAAAAGAACATTCGTACTACAACTTGAATTTAGAGGACAATAACGACAGTTTGTAGTAGTCCAATGGCAGCAATGAAACCCTCAACAACCATCAAATTGGATCACTGATGAGGCAAAAAGATCATTGGGTCCTCATTCCTGGTATGTATTAATGAATGTTGGGTCCTCATTTCTAGTATGTATTAATTAATATATTTTTATTCTACCCTGCAGATCTAGCATGCTTCATGGATTGAAACAAAGCCATTAGCTTTTACATAAATTTGCTTCTTGCTTATTTCCATCCTTTGCCTTTATTCATTTATTTAGGGATAATTTTTTAAATAACTATTGAGCTTACAATAAAGTTAAAAGGAAGTTAGAGAAATACTTGTATTCTTCCTGCCTCACCCTTCCCCAACATGCATATCCTCCCCTCATTAATTATCAACATTATTCACCAGAATGGTACATTTTTACCACAAATTGAAATATAATAATCAATTTACCTACATTGAAATATCATAATCACATACAGGCCATGTTTACCTTAGGGTCACTCGGTGTATATTTTACGGGTTTGGAGGAATACATAATGATAAATAGCCATCATTATAAATAGTTACACTGTATTTCCCCCCAAATGTAAAAATCTGCCCTAAAAATTTGTGTTCTGCCTAGTCATCCCTCACCCCAACCCCTGACAGCCACTAATTATTTCACCTTCTCATAGTTTTTTTTACCTTTTCCAGAATGTCATAGAGAAACACGTAGAATGTGACCTTTTCAGATTGCCTTTTTTTCTTTTAGAAATATCCATTTACATTTTGGTATGAATTCACTTAGCAAACTAACAGTAACATGTTTAAATTTTAGACCAGATCACTTTTGATACTAAGGATGTATACACACTATTCTCTTAAGCTATTGGCAATTTTATATTGGATTTAGTAAAATAAATGTGAGCACACATAATATTTTAATATTTAAAAGGTAAATTCTTTAAAAATTGGCCTTATCAGCACAAAATTTCAGCTATACACAGATAAATGAAAATTGTAGCTTTGAAAAGTTAATAGTATCTTACAAAAAAAAACAAATTTTTAGCAAGCTCAGATAACAATTAGTTATCTAAACAGTGATACACTAACATTTTTTTTTTTAATTTTTTTTTTTTTTAGTAGAGGCATGTTTTTATTTATTTATTTGTTTGCTTTGTTTATACATGCACTGGGTACAGTCAGAAGCACGGGAGGGTGAGAGAATTCACCAGAGCCAGAGCGGGGAACAGAGCAGGCAGAAGGACCGAAGTACACTGCTGAGGGGAGCAGCGGGTGGCAGGAGAGGTCTGCACGCCATGTGGGACCCTCCTCAGGTGGCCGGGGAGCAGCTGGGGATCGAACCTGTGTCGCAGAGGCTGCAGGCAGCTTCGCAACCCAGCGCTCAACCTCTGCGCCACCAGGGAGGCCCTACACTAACATTTTAAGGTAACACTTGTTATTCGGTCTCAAATGGATCAAGTTCTTTGTTTTTCATTCTCAGAACTACATTTCAAGTTTTCTAACTCCTCCCTTCAAGTTTATCCTGCGCTATTTCCTCTTGTTTTCTTCCCATTATATCAGGTTTCCATTTTGTGTTGTGTACCCATAGTTGTTTAAAAAGGAGCTCAGACTTCTAGCCCATAAACATCACTTCCTCTGTCTCCTGAATTTATTTAAATGGCTGATACTTGAGCCTGGAGATTGTTTACACTAACACCCTGGAGTCAAGAGTGTTCATTACCTCTACCTCAAACTCTCCACATAGGTCAACAGCACAAGGCAAGACCCCTCATATTTTATTATTTCAAAACCAAGATTCTTTCTCAGTCCTCCATTTCCCAAGCTTTCTGCTGTGGATACTCATTCACCCAATTTGTTGATGAGTCAACTGAAATATGTTTGCAGCACAATTAAAAATATATTTCTTTTTCCTTCTAGATCACAGTGCTTACGTACATGCTCTCTGTCATTGTAGAAACAACTAATTGTTATTTACTTAGTTTTTAATGAACTGAAAATTTTTGTGAGAGATTTTCCATGTCTCCAACAGGTGGAACAATGTATTGAGAACAAGTTGAATAGAGCCATCTTTTAATTTAAGAGAAAGTAGCATATATTTTCCCTTTAAATAGATATGAAAGTCAAGTAACAGCTTATATGTAACATTATCTGCTTATGGTAATCTCCAGATGATAGATGGCTTTATAATTCAAGTTAAAGAAAAACATTAAATTCGATTTAACTTATATACCTGATAATCATGGCAAAAGATTCTGTAAGACATTTAATTTTATCAGACTTTTTTTTTCCTCACTGGCCAACAAAATGTCATAACATATTTGACTTTGGAAATGTTTTTCTTAAATTCATTTTTTCTAAGTCGAAGGCTACCTGACTTACAGAGACCTGGTAGAAACCATGAATGGTGTTATGAATAGAAGTTGTCATCTAGTTCATTAGTAGGATGCTTTGCCCTTGGGTCATAAGCACATGCATGGCATAGAGAGGTTTTTAATGAGAGTTGCAAAGAATTTGGTCCTTCTCAAAGTTCATCTCTACTTGTAGGCACACCATCCCCCACCAGTGATGTTGGACTTATCAGTTGCCCTGTTGGCATGAATTTGGACTCTTAGGGTATTTCCTAATTCTTGATTCCCTGCCAAGGATGTGCTGGTCTTTTATTCTCCAACTCAATCTCTCATGTAGGAACAAGACTGATTGCTTTTCAGAGATTAAGGTTGAAGAGAGATCAGGTCTCAGAATTCACCCATGAAGAGTTCACTTAGGGTAGGCCAAGTGGAAAGCCAACTCCCAATATGTTACTTAGAAGGGTTGGGCCCTCTTGGTTTTGCCCTTGTTCTCCTGTCTCATTTATGAGTCAAAATAAATAATAAAAAAGTGGTTTCTATCTCTCTCATCCCCCACAGCCCTCCCCAGTTGAATAAATGAGAGATGAAGGAGTGAGCGTCACTGGGAATACACAGCCTCATATGTGTCATAGGCGATTCCTGTAGGAAAACTTGACATAGTCAATTCAGAGAATTATTGCTACTTTTGTTGAACCCCTGAAATGCATGTAAACATGTACTTGTAATCCTGTCGGCAGAACTTCATGTCTGTATACCCCACCATCCTACACACACACACACACACACACACACACACACACACATTTTTAAACTCTTATTCTTTCTTTAAAACCCATTGTCTAGTACCAGGATCATGGTTAGTGCTTCACAAACATTTGTTGAATAAACAAATGCATGAATGCATGACACTGTGGGGATGTCTCAGATACTTCCAGGCAGCTTGATTGGTTTTCAAAATGTTATTGATGCGCCAAAGTGGAATAGTCTTAGGGACCAAGGCCAAAGAGCCAAACCCTTGCTATGTGTTCACTTTCACTCCATGACTCAGACTCCATTGCTCTATTTTGAAGGTGTAACCAAACTCATACATTCAAATGATTCTAATTTTAAATGTGTAACAATTGGACTTTGAAAGATTTTAAATTACCCTGAACTAACTAGAAATATAAAAGGTTAGGAAGGTCATGTTAAATATCTCTTGCCCCTATTATCTACCAAGAAGTTGACTTTGCATTAACAGTGTTTTTAATTTAAAAGATATATTATATATGTAGGACTTAAAGACTAATAAATCAAGAAAAGGGAAGAAACTGTTTGCAAGCACATACATACAGTTTGAGGCACCAATTAATATATTAGAATAATTAGTAACTACTCTTACTTAAATTAGGATAATTGCTAGGCAGGTTTTTTTTGGTTCTTTAAGTTTAGTTATTACTAGAACTTAAAAATTACCAAACTGCATTTAGGAAAGTTTCCATCCTTTCCAGCTCTTTCATAATTATGTTTCTGATAATTATATTATCAGATAATATGAATTAGTGAGTTTAAGACAGAACAAGGACAGTCCTTGACATTCTACCTTCTGTTGCTCTCAGGATAATAATAGGGAACTTGTTTTTATTTTTAACCAGAATTCTATTTATTTATTTTATTGACATATTACATGATAAGATTATATGCGTTTCAGGTGTGAGCCTGAGCATCAGGTGTAGGTACTATATTAAGTTCACTTAATTCTATCCTTCTCCATACTGCTGGCCCCTTTGTGCAATTTACCCACCCAGAACTCATTTTTTAAGGATGATTTCATTTCTTGTGTCTTGGTCCCAGGTTGTACATAAGCAAAACTGTTGCTCCTACTTTCTTCGGATGATGATGTTTATAACACTTGCCCTTCAATTCTTGTTCTGAACATTGGCGTGCTTGTCCAACTTCTCTACTTTCAGCTTTTCACACCCTACCACCTTAAGACTAGACACTTACCCAGAGAAAAAGCGCCTGACCTCCCAAATAGGGGAAAAAAGAGCTTGTTTAGGGCCTCCCCGGTGGCGGTGCTGGTGGCACAGCGGTTGAGCTCTGGGCTGCGAAACTGCCCTCAGCCTCTGCAGCACCAGTTCCATCCCTGGCCCCGGGGCAGGGGTCCCACATGGCCTGCAGACCTCTCCTGAGGCATCCGCTGCTCCCCTCAGCAGTGTACTTCGCCAGTCTGCCTGTTCTGTTCCCCGCTCTGGCTCTGGTGAATTCTCTCACCCTCCCGCACTTCTGACTGTATCCAGTGTTTGTATAAATAAATAAAAAAATCTTAAAAAAAAAAAAAAGTAAATATCTTAAAAAAAATAAAAGAGCTTGTTTAAGCTAAGTACACTACTCATTTTTATCCCACCTGGAATAATATGTTTGATTCTTCAAATGTTAGAAAATTATAGCTGTATATGTACATGTTGGAGAATAACGAAAGGTCTCTCTGTAGATTTTGATACATAGTTTCTTTTTATGCTTAAAGAAGATTTTAATAAAGAGGAAATGTTGCATTATGCAAAATATCAATGCACCCCACAGATAGATATAGCAATGCTTAGATGATAATTATCCTGCAAATAAAAAATAAAAAATACCACACAAATAATTTGGCTCCTTCAAAAGAGTTTGACTCCTTTGAAAGTGCCTATTTATATAATCATGCAATTATTACAATTATTCATATCTGAGGTTCTTTCCTCTGAGGTATCTATTAGAACCAACTATCATC